TGCCACAAGAAATTTCCCCCCCCCCCGCTTATGTGAACTTCCGTCGTCTCTCCCCCCCCCACTCCACAGATCGCTCACTTCTCAGTCCCATTCCATTCCCTTGTTTCGTATGGATCAAGCCAAATTAGCCGAGGCTAGTTTTATCCAACTGATCCAGTCATTTGCTCGATTCGCCGAATGCAACTCGTTGTTCACCACTGGACTTTCGTCAATCCCTGCGAGTAGTGCATGGTCCACTCTGGCCAATGGCATTCCCACCGTCTGGGATGATTCGAGGCAGGATGAGCATGAAATGGTTGAACGGTATTTGAAACTGCAGACAATCCCGATCCGTTTGGATGTCGTGGTTTCCGAACTGACCGAACAATCAGCGAGCGCTGGTTCACCCTTGGGTGGTGAGTGTGTTTTATTTGTGTTGTGCCATGTTTTTTCACACTTTGATGATGAAAGCGGCCAGAATGGTAGCCGTCGACGGCACTACCACCAGGTTACTTAAGTTTGAACAGCAGTGACCAAAGTGTGAGTAGTTCAAGACCGAAATGGTCTGAAAACACAGTTGGTAACCATTGTCTCTCCCCATTGGATTCTCCTATCTTGAAGTACAGTATCCCTCACTCAAGGGCACAACTTCGTGGAACTCGTGAATATCGTCTAGAAGTGAGGTGAACGAGGGAGGATGACCGTATTGCACCGACGGACAACAAGATGTCCGTTTGTATCTTGATGATTTGAGCAGCTTTTGCTTTTGGGTTGAATTTTTCCCGTTATCTGGATTGGCTGCTCCACGTGATCATTATTCATCCGTATGCGCGACTCAAACATACGAGGGCAGCGCGTTCCTCAGCTCCAACCCATTGCAATCTGGCGTTTCTTCCAGTTAGCCAAATCCGAATAAGAACTATCAAAGGTGATTATTTATCGCGGAGATGGCAGACTGAAATGCTAATCCACCGATTAACCCGGGTCAACAGCATTTTGTTGTTTTTTGCTGTGGGGGGGGGGGGGCGAATTTACTGACCCTACCTTTGCCCCTTGACTTCCCCTGTCTAGGCTTGTGTAACCTGGCAGTGTCCCAGCCCCCATGCTTCCTTCTGGTAACATAGCAGTTAGACACCAAAAGGGTGCTAGGGTCAACAGCATTTTGTTGTTTTTTGCTGTGGGGGGGGGGGCGAATTTACTGACCCTACCTTTGCCCCTTGACTTCCCCTGTCTAGGCTTGTGTAACCTGGCAGTGTCCCAGCCCCCATGCTTCCTTCTGGTAACATAGCAGTTAGACACCAAAAGGGTGCTACGTCGATTTGTTGCTGTGGGATAGATCAGCCACTTGAGGAGGCATAAGGTATTTCTTCAGTCTCGAGGGGATCTGCTTCTTCAAAAGGGAACTGGAATGAAAACACCCATTTCTCCTAAAGAAAACTATCAGTCACCAAGTGCTCTACACTCAAGTGATATCCTTCTCAGCAGGTGTTGAGCTTTCGGTCCGCTGCTCACTATCCTGTTTCCTCTCCATATTCATCAGTATCACATTCTGTCTGGGAGTTCATTTTGGGTGACCGTGTTCGATTAGAATTACTCAATAAGCATCGTAGGCAACGGAAACGATGCTTGGTGACTTTCATTCCGCGTATTTTCCATTGCCAGGTCACATGCCCACGTTTGCTGCTTCATCTTTTCACCGCATCCGTTTACACGTTGCCGTAGCATTCTTTCCTTTTGTGCCTTCACTCGTTAAAAAAGTCGCAAGCGTGGCCGACGGTTTCCTAGTTGTGTTTCTTCAAGCACACGGCGCAGAAATTCTGGAATGTCAGTTATCAATGTCAGTATAGCAAGGATAGAGTGTTCTGATTGGTCAGTGGGAAAGTGATCCCAGTTCTCACGATTGGCCGATAATCCGGCCTTCCCAGTTTGCTCACTTTGTGACTTCCACCGATCACACTTTGGTCCTTTTGGCTCCCATCAGGACCGACTGGACCCGTATTCATTGTTTTCGTTCCAATCATTCCGTACAAACAAATTCCGAAATCAGTATAGTTCTCTTGGTCAGTCATACCTGCACTCGCGAATGGAGTAGATGAATAGGATTTGGCTTTCGATCGCATGCTCTCATAGGTTCGTAGTATTATACATGTCGCATACAAAAAAGCTTGTTTGTCTCTGTACTGTGCTGTACGTTACAGTGCCGGTTGTGACGTTTATCGACCGATCAGACAGAGCTCTCGGCAATTCGGCACATGTGTGAACGCAGCTGACAAAGTTGATGTTGAATCGTTGGAACAACAAAGACCGATAGTATTTGTTTTTTTCTCGTGACATTTGTCTCTTCGAAGAGGCAGTGGAAAACAGTGGCAGCATGTTAGTACTCCGTTGGAGTCGTACAAAGGATGTCAGACAGTTATGGGTCTTTTGAATTAAGTAGTTGGATATCTTGCACTCTGTGTCTCACTTTTAAAACGTTCTCTTTTGTGCTACCGGATCAATACTCCTGAAGATGAAGACGCGCTGGGCTTTATGCAATATAAACCCGTGGTTTGAGCCCTAAACGAACGCTGTAACAAATAGTGTGTGATGAGCGGGAATTATTAAGATACGCCCAATAAAACATGGTGGGATGATGGTTTTGCCGCGCAACACAGAAATAGGTGGTGCGCATGCGTGATGATGTGTTAACTCGGTAGTTGGCGTAGTGTTGGTTGCTTCAACGCCTGTTCGGACATATACGTTGCCGCTGATGCTATAGCTCTTCTGTATCCCCGTGCCTTCGTCGGGGCTGCTCGGCACTTCCATCTAAGGGTTCTTTTCTGTTTTGGTGCCAGCTGACTCGTTTTGAGTCGTTTAAGTGCATCGATTAACGGAAAGCAGCTTTTTTTACTACTGAACCAACGCCATTGATAGTTCAGGGGGGGGGGGCTGTGTCCAATACAAGTCCAGGTTTAGTACTGGAGTAGAAATTACCTAATGTTAAGTGGATGGCAGTCGTTTACCACGTGAGTGGGAGAGTAACTAGGGTCTGTTCTGCCTATTGCTTGCACTGAACTCTTCGGATGATCTCGCGGATGCAGTTCATAGGTTCATAGGTGAAGCATATGGTGGGAACACCGGATCAGCAATTCTGAAGTACGTCGAATTGTATTCGGGAGAAATAACTCACCCTCGATCACACTGCATAGGTTGCGCTGGCTTGGCTACGTGTTGTGTATGCCAGTCGACCGACTTCCTCGAAGGGCTCTTTTCGCACAACCACGTGAAGGGTGGAAGAGAGTCAGAGGCGGTCAACCAATGACTTGACAGCGAAGTATGAAAGCCATTACAAGCAAACTTAGCCGCGTCTTCTTGGATGGGGACCTCGAGACGGGCCAGATCAATGGCTAGAGACATTGTCAGATATGTCCCAGTCGCGCCCTCAATGGCGCTCGTGCATCCAAGCTATTGCCTTCAATGCATAGCTCCTTTTCCAACCCCCCCACTTGACAGCCCACTGTACCTATCCCCCCNAAAAAAAACATCGGTGAACGAAACTGCGGCAGCTACAACCACTGTACGACAAGTACGCGGTTATTACAGCTGACAATGATGATGATGCTGAGGTGAAGCATATGAGAAGTGTTCATTTCCCGAACCACCGATGTCTCAACGTGTGTGCTAGCCTCAGAGAACTTCTAATGAGTTCTCATAAAGGAAACTACTCACACGGTTGCTGAAAACTCTTCGACAGCCCACGACCGGTTCCGCCCTTCTTGGGGCCCATTAGATAGGCACAGTCCCCGAGTTTCCATCAACCTTATGTTCTACTTGAATCTTGTGAGTATTTTCCTTTATGAAAGTATACTACGAGATATCGAATATCGTTCCAACTGAAACATGAGGCGGCCTGTGTGCAGCTCATTCAGTTGTAGAATATCATAAGCGAGAGATTCAAATGAGTCTCTCGTGAAAACCAAATTCTACTGAGTTCGTTCGGAAAACCATGTTCTCACTCCGCGAATGCGCTTCGTTTACGTAAAACATTCGATCACTAGCTCCCGTGCGCGACACCCGCACGGGGAGACATGTGCTGCTCTGTATTCCTTCTTGAGATTGGCGGATTCCAAGAGATTGGAGGTGTTTGGCTTCCAAGAACGTTATTGAGTTTGATGAAAGTGGGACTACCGCTGATCCGAACCCTTTCCTCGCATCAGCCAAGGGGCTGTACGTTGCATGAAGATGAAACCAGTGTCAAAGAATGGTGTGACTTTTTGTGAGGGTTCACGTTAGTTTCCAGGACACTGGTTGCGAAGCTTATCTTGGTAGCAGTTTTCTATGTGGGTTTGTTCACGACGATTGTCGCACACAGTCAATCGTTACCTAGTTAAGTGAACTGTTTGTGGGTAAGAGAATTCCTCTTATCCACTGCAGATGGATCAGTTGTTAGCGCTTGAGCTTACTGCCCGACCTCTATCTCTTGAATTCCCCTGTCTCGGCTTGAGCACTCATGCTTCCTTCGAGTGGCCTAGCTGCTAGGCACCAAGAGGGTGTTACAGCTGAACAATCCACTGCAGTTTCGTAAAACAAGAAGTGAACTGACAGTAAGACAACAAATTGTTTTAGCTGACTTCACATTCGACTCGAATTGAACGTTGCTCATCGCGCTGCAACATACCTAACAGAAGAGAATATGTCAAAGCTAATCGCCCTTTTCCTTTCCCGAACAGGCGCCACCCTGTTGACCGCAGACCTACTTCCCCTGTTGCCAAGCTGTGATGTGAATGGACTGAACTTTTCGCTACCCTCATTCCATCCACCGCTTAGGCCAAACGAAATCATCCGGGAAGTGGAGCACTGGTGGGATTTCGGTATGCCTGCCACCAGTCCTGCCGCAGTGCCGTCGGACAGCGCGAGTGGTACAATTGTGGAGACAGGTTCGTTTGTCTGTGCCTGATATCCATTTTGGTTTCCAAACTTGTTGTGGTACATGAAATGCGTTCCTACACGCACTGTTTATCCCTCAGCAAAAAAATTATCCATTGACACCCACATTCAAATTCAAAGTTGGTCGTATTCGACCTTGTTTTTCGTGACATGCGAAGGCAGAAGTCAAATATTTGATCCACTAATTAGTCGCACGTAACTTTGGGGATCGTCTTTCCCCCACTGATCGGCACCATAATGAATTTGGCTAACAAGCCTCTCTCTGTGCAGCGGGGGGGGGGCAGTACGCTTGAGGTCAAGGTTGACGGGGAACACCGCTGTTCGCTCTCCAAATGAGTGACCTTCCTTCGGAAAAAAAGCAGCTCATGGTTAACTCTTGGCTGCTGCACATAGCCATATGTATTAGGGAGTGAGTCATTACAACGAGGCCGAGTACGAAGCCTATTTCGCTATGAAAATGGGGCGTATTTTATTTCAGCTGTCTAATTCCAAACCTGTCGTGATCGATTTTGAGATGGATGTCTTCCTCTGAACGTGGCCACTTACATTGTTTTATAGCTGAGAGCGGTTAATATGATGGCTCACGCATCCAGCCCTCTCTAGTTTTTTGAGAACTGTTATCAGATAATTTGTGATAGGACGCGCTTGGTTTTCCGGTAACCGGCACTAGTTCGCGGGTTATGCAATTCTGGCAGCAGCTCTTAGGCACTTTCTGCCTCATCGACTTATCCTCACTCTGGAGATAGATGATGGGGTGACAGATGTTTGGTTCAAAAACTTTGGTGTTTGCGAGAGGCGTGCTGTGCAAGGGAGTGCGGTGACCTGGCAATTGGCCATCCGTGTAAAATTTATCTCTCAACAGGAGTGTTTCTATACACTGTCGAGGATATGTCTTGTGTCAGGTTATCTTCAATACGGTGGGATACGAGTCCTTAGCAGCCGGTGGCTTCTTTCTTTTTCGTTTACTGATCCTCCATTTAGTTAACTTATTCACTTACTACCCCTGCACCACGACTTCGTTGTTTCCAGCTGCCAAAGGATTGCTCATCAAGTAACAACGATGACGGGGTCACCAAGAGGGCTTAGGTGGTTCACGGCTTAGTACTAATAGAATAAATAAGTGTTCAGTTGTAAAATAGAAAAATCTTTCAATTGTAGCGCTCTTTCAGTGCCTAACCGCCGTGTCACCCGAAGGTTGTACGAGGGCTGGGATACTGCCAGGTTGCCCAAGCCTAGACAGGGGAAGTCGAGAGGCCGAGGTCGGACCTTCTAGTAGTAACATCGTTTCGATGTGTCGGTGCCATGCCAACCGAAGGAGGCATCAGACCTGAGATACTTCCAGGTTTCCCAAACCTACACTAGAGTTATGGATGAGCAGCTGAGGTTAGGTTTGAACCACGAACCTTCCGATCACAGCCATCTCGAGCGTAAGTCGTTCTGATGAAATGGGAATCCGGACAACAATGCTTTGAAGGCTTCCAATCAATTAATCAATCTGTCAGCTGTAAACCGTGTACTATGAGCACTATGGTTCCAGCTACCACAGTTTTAATCACCGAAAAGTGGGTAGCTACGTATTGAAGGTGATAGCTTTGATGCAAGGGCGTCAGTGTCACTAACCATTGGTGAGTTGTGTCACAAGGTCCCAATCTGGAGAGTCGATAATAGTCTATCCGACCGACTTTACTGGTTAGTGTTTTCATACTTCGTTTCCAGGTTTCCAGGCATGCGGACTACATGTCCTAGCCAGCGTGAGTAATTCATCTATCGCGGGAGAGTCCTTCTTCCCAGGATTATCTGGCGTATCTCAGCATTCCTAGTCCGATGTTTCCACCACACCTGACCAATGCTTCGGAGACACTGAGGGCCAAACATTGACACCTGTCGTGTGACCTCTGCATGTAGAGACCACGGCTCTGATCCATAAAGCAGCATGGATTGTACTACTGCGGTGTAAACTTTGCCCTTGGCAATCAAGTCGGCAACACAGGCGACGGAGGTTTGCAAAATCCACCCTAGCCTTCCCGTTTCGAGGAGTGACCTCACTTCCAGACAGCCCACCGGAACTGCTCAGGTAGACAAATTTATCTACCACATCGACTGACCTGTAAGCATGAGATTCGGGTTCGCTTCCGTCCAGTCTTGTAACAGCAGCTTTGATTTAGGAACTAGTGGTTACGGAGTACTCATCAGAGGAGGCCGCACTGAATCCACCAATAAGCGTTCTCGTGCCTTTCATGCCTCCTCGACAGGTCATAAATTTTCCGCATTTCAGTGGTTTCTACTCGATGCGGGGCTGATCCAAAACAGCTTCGCGAGGCCGACGGTCCCTTGACATGCGACCTGCATGACGTAAGCGACGTAACCCATTGGATCTGGGTGGTTCATCTATTACACACTAGTTTCTTCTTCCAAGGACTGTCTGATGTGTCGCAGAGTTAGTCTAAATTTTCCCATCACACGTGGGCAATAAGTTGAGGACACGGAGAGTTTTTGCACATGTGCGAAGAGGCCAAGTTTCCTAGCCATAAGGCAGTACTGATAGCACCTCTGCAATGTACGACCTCTTGGTAGACACACAAGTTACCCGGGTGCCAGAGGTTAGACAAAGCCATCTTGTTTTTCTCTTTGGGGCGTTGCTTTCGTCTTCCGCCAGTCTTCAAGGAATGGTCCTAAATTCCTGCTTACTTTTAAGGGTTCAATATTGCATTTATGGTGGCGTAGGGCACCTGACAACGGTCCCATCAGGTTCTCTGAATGCTTATGTGTCGTCGCTACCTTAGTTATGTGTGCAGTCTCATTATAGACTCATTATGTTCTATACAATACGGTTCAATCATCCGCGGGATCGATGTGCGGACAGGGAAGGGATTTAGTGCTAGCTTACCACAATCATTCCGAGGTGCCTACACCTCCAGACATTCACTTAAGCAATCTGGATAGAAACTGACAACAAGAACGCTACTGATACCGGTTGGCAGCCATACGTTGTGGTGTCTCAAACCAGACACAGTGAGGATCATGTGGTCCCCATCCTGGAAGGCGAGTAGCACGGACAGCACCCAAGCGTTTCGTGGTCTCCTTCATACCCCTCTGTCAGGTCAAGGGTTGGCCACCTCTGTTTACGCCACTCTGCACATTCATAGACCTCCGGAGGAACAGTGGATTTATTTCAAGAAGCCCATTACAACACAGAGAAGGTAACATTTACTGAAAATTGCAGGACATGCGTAAAACTCGCCACTAAGAAGTCAATTTTTCCAACGCCGTAAGCTCTCCTTTTAGTGATATTTCATAGCACGCTTAATAGCTTGTTTGATAAAATGTGCGTTCTGTCGTCGACGTAAAAATCAATAACCTGATTTTCGTGGACCCCGAGCCAGAATCAGCGGGCCCTTGTTCTAAACTGGCTGTGAACTTTACACGTTGTCGTGTAAAGTGTGAGCGGAAAGCGCACTCATTTGACCAAGAAGCCAGTCAGAGTACTACAAACGTTGACGAACAGTGCAGGGATTTCGGTCGAGCTGGAAAACAAAAACGATGTTTTTCTCCGCCCAACATTCGCTGGAGGCACCACTTTTCGAAACCTCGGTCTCAGTTGTTTCCCTCTCCTTATGAGTCCTAATGTTATCATGACTGGTAGGTTTGCAACTGTCGAATAATTTATATATATATATATATATAAACCGTTGTTGAAGTCAGAGTCGATAGGGCGTGAACGATGTGCATCTGATTCAGTTGTTTGTGTTAGCGAGAACAGTGTGGACAGGCGGATTGGATCAGATTAACGTTGAACTGAGCTGAAGGCAAGCTGGAGGCTTCAGTTAGCTTTGCATTAAGTGGTGCTCTGGAATTGGGTTGCTTTTGTATTACGCATCAAATGGTAGCTAGATCTTCCTCTTCTGATAATCCGCTGGTTCGAAGTGGCTATCCGTGTTTGTTCACCCCGTATCTGTTCGCTTACTCCAGCCAACCTAGCCGTTCAGCTGTAGCACCCTTTCGGCTCCTAGTTGCCATGCCATCCGAAGGTTGCACGAGGGCTGCGATACTGCCAGGTTGCCCAAGCCTAGACAGGGGAAGTCGAGAGGCAGAGGTCGGGTTCGAACCACGGACCTTCCGGTCAGTAAATTCGCGCTCCGAACACTTGGACCATCTCGCCCCCTAACCCAGCCAGTCTTTTGAGTATTCCCGGTGGTTCACGCCCTTACAGTTAGCGATGTGCATCTGTTTCAGTTGTTTGTGTTAGCGAGAACAGTGTGGACAGGCGGATTGGATCAGATTAACGTTGAACTGAGCTGAAGGCAAGCTGGAGGCTTCAGTTAGCTTTGCATTAAGTGGTGCTCTGGAATTGGGTTGCTTTTGTATTACGCATCAAATGGTAGCTAGATCTTCCTCTTCTGATAATCCGCTGGTTCGAAGTGGCTATCCGTGTTTGTTCACCCCGTATCTGTTCGCTTACTCCAGCCAACCTAGCCGTTCAGCTGTAGCACCCTTTCGGCTCCTAGTTGCCATGCCATCCGAAGGTTGCACGAGGGCTGCGATACTGCCAGGTTGCCCAAGCCTAGACAGGGGAAGTCGAGAGGCAGAGGTCGGGTTCGAACCACGGACCTTCCGGTCAGTAAATTCGCGCTCCGAACACTTGGACCATCTCGCCCCCTAACCCAGCCAGTCTTTTGAGTATTCCCGGTGGTTCACGCCCTTACAGTTAGCCTTTTTCAACTGTACCTGGCAAGAGGGTGTTGATTGGCCTATCGATTTTTTGATACTGACCAAAATAAGAGTCTGCATGTTTTTAGGAAAGGACATTGTATGGTTCGGATGGGAAGAGACAGACGAGTGTGAGGATATAAATGGTACAGCATACTGGTATCCTTTTACGTCCTTTATTGGTCAGACAACTCGTGTTTAAGAACGCAGGCTGACATTTTGGAGATGTCTTTCCAAAAACTCGAACTTGGATCGTTGAAACGCAAGTCCATGGTTCTGACTACTGGGTTATCCGGACCCGGAATTTCTGAGGAAAATACAGAGCGACTGTGTAACGACGAAATTACTGACACTCGCAAGTAGATTCAACAGTTCCTTAGCAGTACTGATGATCTGATGCTGCGCAATTGAATGTAGTTCACTTCTTTGAGCGGCACCAGGGTTTCTCCCCACTTTTTAACTCACACAAATCTATCCTGAAACCACTTACAGTGTGACACTACTTGTAAGTTTGACGAAACTTCTTCGAAGACCCACTAGTGTTTACGTCTCTTTTGTAGCCTATCCAGTAAGCTCAGTTCCCGAATTTCCATCAGTGTTACGTCGTACTTGAGCACAAAGTTAAAGTCGAATTTACTGACCGGAAGGTCCGTGGTTCAGTTCCCGACCATCAGTGTTACGTCGTACTTGAGCACAAAGTTAAAGTCGAATTTACTGACCGGAAGGTCCGTGGTTCGACCCCGACCTACCTC